TATTCTTTCCGCTGTGTCCTCAATCATGTTCTTAAGGGGAGCATGTCACTTTGTCGTCCCAACCAGACGTGATCGATACTGTCCTGCGTTTTACAAATGATACCGCAACTCGAAGCCACCCACATACAGGAACGTGACCCACCAGTTTTCCACACCGCGAAAAGACGTTACGTCGTGTCAGGACCTGATGGAATGTCATTTTCACGTTTCCACTTAAACGTATTGTTATCTTCTGCGACGTGAAAACCCAGCACATGTGTGCCGTCCCGTAACCGCTTCGGATCCTTACAGGTCAAACCAAACGCAAGTGCTCTTTTACGCGAGCTGCTGTAATCATGATCTTGTCAACATAAATATCATCAATATATGATGACGTTGCCCGTCGAACTGACTCGTCTTTCGACAACGTGGCGTCCACAATGGTCTTCATTATGGCTGGTGCAATATTCAACCCGAAACCCATTCGGGTCAAGCAATATCTTCGCCCCTTGAAGATTACAGTTTGAAAGGGCCAAAGTGACTTATGGATATGTACTTGCAAATAAGCCTGCCGTAGGTCAAGGATAGCGACTTCCGGTCCTTTTTTACGCCACTCCCTCAGTTTCTGTGCGCACACGTCAGCATTGACTGCGTGTGCGTCGAGGCATTCATTCAGCTCTCGATAGTCTAATACTGGCCGCACTTTATTTTTATTTTTGTTTTTCTGCACCACCGCCATCAACGGAATTAAACCTTTTGGAGGACAGAGTTCCTTTTCAGGATAAGGCTGCAACCAACCGTTATCAAGCCAGGTCTGCAGCTCACGGTCGTATTCCTCCTTGACTCCCTTTGGTATTGGGTACTCGGGCATCCGATTTCGCAAACTCTCCGGTGATCGACCATTAGACCACTTCCATGATGCGACCCATATCTTCCGGCTTGGGTTGAATTCAGCACAGAAATCACGTTCTTCTATTTTAATGGCGGCACAACAGAAAATTCCACGCTTGAGAAACCGTACATCGCCACTCTGTTATTTGGATTCCGCCCAACTTTTTAATGGCGTCAAACCCAAGCAACAAGTCGAAACCCAATAGCTCTCCATCTACTACCAAGACTTCGATCTTAAGGGGGTTTGCGTTGTCCACGTCAAGCTTGATACTTCCAACACCGCAACATTTGAGAGTATTTCCGTTTACGGTGAGTAAGGTCCACCTCCGTCTCTTCGCCAGGATTGACAGGCCGACTTACTCACGAGTGTCTGTGAGCAGCCAGTGTCCACCAGTGCCACTCAATTAATTCCGTCCACGTAAATACCCAAGACAGGTAGCGCCTCATTCATAACTCGCTTAGGGAAGAGACCGGCGCTGACGTCTTGTCCCCTTCCTCTTTTCCCGGACACGATGAAGCAATGTGGTCTATCTCTTGACACCGGAAGCAACGCAATGACCTGCGTGGCTGACGGGCATCTTTTCGTCGAACCGGGCAGTCCCTGGAAAAGTGATTCCACCCAGAGCATCGATAGCATCGCATACCCTCCCGACGTTTAACATATGGAGGTTTATCAGCTCCGCCTGGTAAAATGGTAGCTTCAACCATTTCCTCAGTTGCATTTTGATCTTTCATTATGGCTCGAGATTGGTTTGTATTCATGTCATCCATCCTGGAAGACGCGCGCAGTAGTTGCTTGACGTGCGCTGGTAACCCTGCTATGAACGCACATGCTAGTCTTTGCTCGGATATCCCACCAAAAAGACCTGCTAGCTTCTTCAAGTCGGCTAGAATGCTAGTCTTTGCTCGGATATCCTACCAAAAAGACCTGCTAGCTTCTTCAAGTCGGCTAGAAACACGTCGACGGATTCGTCCGGGCGCAGTCGGCATTCCACAAACTGCTCGTAAGCCAAGAAACGATCCGGCGTAAAGGCAATCCGCAGGGCTCGTTTTATCTGCTCGACATCTGATTTTTGCTCTGAGTAACTGTTGGTAAACAGCCCGTCAACCTCACAGGAAGAACACGTTCAACCTTTTTAATCCCACACAGGTCAAAAACAAGTTCTGCCTTCTCAATCCATTCAGTAACTGCTTGTCCGGTCACTGACCCATCAAACTCAGGTATTAACTTGACGTCAAATGTCTTATCCGTCATACTGCCGAAATAGCTTGTAAGCGTTCTGAAAGCAAAGGAAGTAGTTGTCGCAGATTACTTCCACAACACAAAGAAAAATCACTGTAAGTACAGACTCGAATATCGAGGGCAGAAAGAAATGCTGAAAACTCGATTCGCCGGTACTATCTCAAATCACAATGCGTGTAACCAGTCAGAAAAATAACTCACTCTCTGACAAACGCCGAAGTTCCGCTCTCGAATCAAGAACACCAACTGCTTTTATCGGCAGAACCTATTTTTTTCATTCGTCGACAGCTGGGATAGGATGCTCCGTAATTTGCATATCAAAATACTTTTATAGCGACTCCTGCGACGGACTTGTTTTTTTTTTTTTCTTATTATATTCCATTTTCAGCATATTATGCGGAATACGTGCCCTTCTGTTTGGTAAGTAATTTTCTTTTTCGCCATATTTTCCGTCGTAGAATACACGCGACGCGCTGTCGCTTGGTTTGACGAGGTAAGTCGCCGTTCTTTTCGCTATAAAGTACAAAAGAGGTGAGGGAGAAATGTAGAGATAAGGTAGAGATCACTTGACGTTTGTCAAGGGACGTGTTAATACGCTCGTCTCCTTCACTCTGGTGACGAGCGAACTTGTTTGTGGGGCTTGAAAAAGTCATTTGGGAATTCACTCCCGGATATGATTCGGGCCTTTCCTTTGCGTCGGCTCGCGAAAAGGTCCGTAAAAGAATTGTTTATAAATGTTTCCTAGTTTTCTATTGGCCGAAAAACATTTCGCATCAAGGTGTGAAATTTCACGAGTTTTGTTTTGGATTCGCTTTTGCGTGTGTGTTAAGCAATGTTCGTAAATTCGAATCTTTTTAATTTCTAACAAAATCAATGAGTCAATGCTTAGCAATTGAATTTTAAATATGGATCTTGTTTTGTTGACTACATTTTCAATGAGAAATAAAGATACGATATTGAAAAAAATGAATATTTGTTGTTTTAAACAAAGCCTTTTTTTCATCATGAAGCAACGGAATTATTGGTACATACACAAAACTATAGATATTTTTAAAAATAAATTATCACCTTGTCAATGTACTTAACGATAATAATTGCAGCTACCCCATTGCAAAAATACAAACAGGACAGATCTGGGACCCTATAGACTTGGAGGACAGATCTGGGACCCTATAGACTTGGAGGACAGATCTGGGACCCTATAGACTTGGAGGACAGATCTGGGACCCTATAGACTTGGAGGACAGATCTGGGACCCTATAGACTTGGAGGACAGATCTGGGACCCTATAGACTTGGAGGACAGATCTGGGACCCTATAGACTTGGAGGACAGATCTGGGACCCTATAGACTTGGAGGACAGATCTGGGACCCTATAGACTTGGTTGGCAACCAGTCTACCACAGAAAGAAACAGCAGTCTAAGACGGGAAATCTGTCTAGTTAGTCACGAATGGCAAGCGATTACGTGTGTCAAGTGATTTGACTTGGCGTGTCGAAAAGAAAATCTGCGTACGGCTTTTGTGCAGGAGAAAAACCACCGTTAGATCAGACGTGCTCTAGAACGTCATGGAGAGACTATTCGGTTTTGCGCTCCGTGGCTGAGGCGGTTTAGACCATGTCTGATTCTCCTGCAAAGGAGGGCATAAGTTCGAATGTTGCCAGGGATTCGATATTACTGTTTAATAATTAATCAAGGCATTTCCACAAATATGGACATTCACTAAAATTACTTTTAAAGTGAGATTATATACCCCTTTTTGCAAATTAATTGAAACAAAACGAATAATTCCTTTAGAAACATGACCCAGTGCACATGTTAGTGCTTCGTATGTTCATTTCACAAATTCTTTCCTTGCAGATTGACCACAGATTCTCGACTGGTTTTAAAGCAGGAGACTTTACGAGCCAGTCGATTGTACTTTGATTTGCTCACTGGTAAGACTTGCTAATGTGCTCGTGCAGCGATACAATTTTCGTACGCTTCCTTGGAGTAACGTATATCGCAGACAATGGCCGTAGGACAACTAATCGAGAGTCGAGACAATAGTGTCAGGGCGTGATGATTTTTCAAGGCCGAACAAATTTCATCGCCACCCCGAAAAGAGATTTATATTACTGTATACCACTGCAAATGACCTAATCGAAAGAAAACAGAAATCGATTACACTGTCACTCCAGTGGGTCTATGGTGAAAGAAAGGAAACTAAAGCGTTTGTTTCAACTAATTTGCATAAGAGTGTGTGTAATATATATATATATATTATATATATATATATATATATATATATATACATACATACACACACACACACACACACACAGGTAAATAAAACCAAAAAGAATGGAAAGGGTGCCAAGCGATAACACATGGCTTGTCTTCATGGCCAAATCGGTATTAACGCCGAATGTAAAAAGGAAGGAACGGTACATCCATGGAGAAAGAATAGCAGAGAGGTATTCATTTAAAGTAGGGTTACACAACATTACCAAATTCCACTCTTTTCAGTTTATAGCGAACTCAACCGATATATGGAGATCAATTGCCCGAGGGTAAAATTCTCGTCTTCCTTCCGTCACCATCTTCCTTTTACAATAAGATCAGCAAAAATCAATTTTGTCTTCTGAGTAACGGAATGCAGAAAAGATGATCCTCTCTTGTTTGATATTTACACGATGCGACATTCATTGAATTCGCTTTTGATTGGTTGGTACAGTTTTCTTTCTATCAGAACGACCAGAACCAGAGGAAAGGTTAAGAAAAAAAAAAAAAACACAAACAAAAAAAAAAAAGCAACACGGCAGGGATGGGTGATATCGGCGTAAATTTTGAATATATAATATTTAGTCAAACGTTTGAGCTTCTGGCCTATTGATTGAGTAAGGTCTCAAAGAGAAGCACCATTGCTGAAGAAGAAGAAGGCGGCGGCGGCGAAAGAAGAAGAAGAAGAAGAAGAAGGCGGCGGCGGCGAAAGAAGAAGAAGAAGAAGAAGGCGGCGGCGAAAGAAGAAGAAGGCGGCGGCGGCGAAAGAAGAAGAAGAAGAAGGCGGCGGCGGCGAAAGAAGAAGAAGAAGAAGAAGAAAGCGGCGGCGGCGAAAGAAGAAGAAGAAGAAGAAGAAGCGGCGGCGAAAGAAGAAGAAGAAGAAGAAGGCGGCGAAAGAAAGAAGAAGAAGAAGAAGGCGAAAGAAGAAGAAGAGGGCGAAAGAAGAAGAAGAAGAAGAAGAAGAAGAAGGTGGCGGCGAAAGAAGAAAAAAGCGAAAGATGAAGAAAAAAGCGAAGGGAAAGAAGAAGGAAAAAGCGAAGGGAAGGCAATAAAAGAAAAGCTTAAAATTGTGCTTCATTGGTGATAAGTGATCCTAGAAAGGAAAAATGATTGATTAGCTATCATTTCAATATTTTGATCACCGTTAACGTTTAGGCAAAACATTGACGTTTAATCTTTCTGTTAAAGAAACCTTTCTGCCTCTCATCACCATGTCTGATGCTAACTCCCAAAGAGAGTGGCTCAATTCGCCTTCTCGAGCTAACATTTTTGACTGACATGAAGTAGAAAAACTTCATTGAATCCATTGCTAGGTCTTCTAACAATGTTGGTTCAGTGTATCATGCTAGACAATTTTTCATTTTTCTCTCTAGAATCTATATTACACATTTATAAGTCCGACATTCGCCTATGCTTTGAACGTTGCTGCCATATATGGTCTGCTTTATATATTTCTTGATAAAATCTAAAGATTCGGTGATATTATTGGTCCTGTTCTAACGTTTCTGCTTCAGTCACTTTCCTCACCGTCGTCTGTGATTTTTCCTTATATACTTTCATGGTAATTGTTCAGATAAACTCTACAATAAGATACCTAGACTTTATGAATTTAAGCGCAGTACTAGATTAGCGGAAAGGTCTCATCAATTCACAGTTGAATTGACTAAATGTAACCAAGTTTTATGCTATCGTTTATTTTCTGCAAATACTCGGATTGTGAATTTCTCTCACTCACTCCCAACTGTCGTGTCACGTCGGTGGAAAAATGCCCCTATCGAAGACTATAAAAGTAGCCAATACATACCATATGCGTTGTGAAAAAACGGCTGATTTGACAGAGTAAGACCATGGGGCTTTCGTGTACTGGCCTGGAAACAGCCGTGGAGACTAACGTAGCTATACAACCTCTACGGCCCATTACAGAACAACGACTGTAGACGCCAAACACCAGATCGAGCCACATACTTGACCATATATAATGTCATGACCATTTCGCACGTACTTGTAGGCAAGAGAATGAGTGAGTCACCTACCTAATGCTGTCTTGGTGAATGGATGGCAGAACAATGACTAAGAGACGCAAGTTACTTAGAGAGCAAATAAAAGGAGTTTTAAAGAGCTATGATCAACCATATCCTGAAGGTACACGATATCTATAAAACTTGTACTTTAATACTTAAAACGGATAGAATTATATTCAGATATCTTCATCTGCTAAGTAATGTTTTCTAATTCTATCAGTTTCTGGTTGATCTATTTTGTCGCCATTTTTGCGTCGTCTCGGGTCCATGCCCGTCCGGCAGTTTTATTCTGGATATCTGAGACACTGATTTTACAAGGATTCTCTGGATCAGTCTCCTCATCTTTGTTGTCTTTTTTATGTCCCCCATTCCTTATATCGTTACTTCTTCTATGTACTAATTCTTTCATGACATAGGTGATTATAACTCTCCACTATTTCCGATTATTTATAGATTTAGGCAATATTTGTCCCTTACTATCCATTCTATGTTCTGCCAGACATTTACATAAGCTTGTTAGGTTACACGCTGTTTCTCTACATTCTGCGAGTGTCGGCTGTCACCACGTTCCGTGACTGACTGAGTGTCGGCTGTCACCACGTTCCGTGACTGACTGTCACCACGTTCCGTGTCTGAGTGTCTGTCACCACGTTCCGTGACTGACTGAGTGTCGGCTGTCACCACGTTCGTGACTGACTGAGTGTCGGCTGACGTTCCGTGACTGACTGAGTGTCGGCTGTCACACGTTCCGTGACTGACTGAGTGTCGGCTGTCACCACGTTCCGTGACTGACTGAGTGTCGGCTGTCACCACGTTCCGTGACTGACTGAGTGTCGGCTGTCACCACGTTCCGTGACTGACTGAGTGTCGGCTGTCACCACGTTCCGTGACTGACTGAGTGTCGGCTGTCACCACGTTCCGTGACTGACTGAGTGTCGGCTGTCACCACGTTCCGTGACTGACTGAGTGTCGGCTGTCACCACGTTCCGTGACTGACTGAGTGTCGGCTGTCACCACGTTCCGTGACTGACTGAGTGTCGGCTGTCACCACGACCCGTGAGTGAGTGTCAACTCTTTCTGATTCTAAGTATACATTACAGACAAGAAGTTTGGAGCCACCCAACATTTCTTTAAAAAATATTAAAATGAGATATTGCATTTTTTAAAAGTAATAGATGAAAATTCACTAACAACAGTATATTTGCTTGCGTGGTGGGTCTGTTATGGCGTGAAGGTGTTTTGGGAGAGAGAGGGCTGGATATTTGATTCAAGTCAAGGAAATCCTGAAACGATGCTTCGTTTTATTCTCGCATTCCTATTTTTATCTTCTCTCGGAAAGGCAGAACAAAGGACTATCAAGTGGTACTTGTGCGCATCTCGTTACAAGTCGAGGAGATAATTCCAATGGACTTAACCTCTTCACGCCATTATCTCTGATATTAGCGTTGTGGGTTGCCATGATTGATAACATGATATCGTCACTAGAGATAGTTAAAAGGTAAAAGACTTGTTTTTATTTAAGTCTCGTATTACGCCACGTATTTGTCTTTGAACAGGTTATGGACACAGCATAGCTATTAGACATCTTTGAATGCAACCCCCATTAAAAAAACAACCCCAAAAATAAAAAAAAAACAAAAACAAAAATAAAAATACAAACAAACAAACAAACTTCAAAAAAAAATCCTCATAGCGAACTGAAAATATTAAGTGCCCGGTCTCGGGAAACCGACTGCCCGGGGAGTGTCTCCCCCCCATTGCACTAAAGAGTTGTGATTGGTAATAATACCGATGCCAGCGCAATCTACGGTTACGGGGACTGGGCTATTTTTGGACCTGCCGTGGATGCACACGCTGGATATCTCCATATTGAACTGACCTTGTATCACATCCTGCCAGCCTGGGGTGGCAACTAAATACAATCGCTTCTCGGCCGTTTGGCTAAGATCAAAATGTAGTATCTGTTCTTTTCAGCTTAATATGATTCTATCCCCACTTCTATATTTCCTTTCTTTCATTCTTTCATCCCCGCTACTGAAACCAAGTAGAATATTTTCTATTTCCACGAGACCAAAATGGAATAGATCATTCAGATATTGGCATGGCGTAACGGTCGTGCGAACTAACTAAAGGAGAGAAATGCATTTATAATAGGATATTTCTAACGAACAAAATGAAGACTGAACTTAGACTGTTTTTTTTTTTATAGAAGTTATTCATGGCAACAGTTTTAAAATGGTGTTGTGTGGAATAATGCAATCTGCAAGTCAAACTGAAATAGACGGAATCAACTGAAAAAAAAACAACAAAACAAAAAAAACATCGGATTGAAAGGAAAATAGAAACTGCTTTCGTCGAATAAAGAAAATCCGATTCTTAATTGGCTAATACGAAGTCACGTGATTTGGTAATTTAAAAATTCAAAATTTAAATCAAGCGTCTCCCAACTTGGCGCCTTTTTCTATTCGTCCCCCCCCCCAATATTGAAATGAAGGTCGAGCATGCTTTCATTTGCTTTTTGTTGCTGTATCGAACCGGGCCACAAATATCACAAGTTGGATTTGCACAAAGGCTCCCTACTTCGGAGACCTATTTCCGGTTAGGCTATGCCTATTAAATATCTCGAAACTGCTAAAAAAAAAAAAAAAAAAAAAAAAAAAAAGGAAAGGAATGCTTGTCAAAAACCTGTTGCTCAGGTCGATAAAGGAGAAGAAAAGCAAGAAAAACTATCGAACATTTCGCCTTGGTACATGTTATCTTTTAGGCATCAGATAATTTCAATCCGTGCTCAAGTGCGCAGCTCCTATCCAATATGCCAGTGTCATTCAGGTGCCTGGCTTATAAATCGATAAGAAAACTTTTCAATCGTGCTCTCAAGCTAATTGCCACCACCGCCATCATTGAGTGACATTATGCCATCATCACATAAGCCATTTCCCCCCCCTATATATATATATATATATATTTTCTGTCAATAGTGATGCCATTATCTACGGGAATATTTTTCGTGCCGTCACGTAAGATAGTGAACTGGGTATGGTGATGTGTCTGCACAGTCGACGTTGCTATATTGAAGAAGCATAAGTATTGATTTGAAACATTTTTTTTTCTTGCGTACGTGTCTGATTATAATTGAATGAACAAGAATGGATATTGAGGCCCTATTCGAGAAGACGGCAGAAGAAAAAAAAGACATTGAGAATAAATAACTCACAATATTAATTACACACATTGGTAATAAGTATCAGCTGAGTTGTAACCAAATTAGTAAATCGCATAAAATCTCAGCGTATTAAAAAACTAATACTTCTCATTCCGATAAGTATTCAGTATTTGCCTTAATAATAAAACAGCATTAAGAAAAAGTAACATACCCGGATGATTAAGGGTATTGAATAATCTCATTGTTCACTATTAACGAAACATCTTTGTCAGGCCCTCTTCACATTTTTTTCCCTATTTTCGGATCAAAGAAGAGGGCCGGACAAAGAAGAGAAAGCCGAGAGGGCCGGACAAAGAAGAGAAAGCCGAGAGGGCCGGACAAAAAAGAGAAAGCCGAGAGGGCCGGACAAAAAAGAGAAAGCCGAGAGGGCCGGACAAAAAAGAGAAAGCCGAGAGGGCCGGACAAAAAAGAGAAAAGAAAAGCGAAGATGGCCGACCATAGAAAGAAAAAGAAAAAGAAAAAGAAAAAAAAGAAAACGATAACAAACAAGGAGTAGAAATATTTGTAGTTTATAGTTGATTCTAAGTATACGAACCGAAAAGCCAAATATTGGCCTGATTTAATGTTTCTCCCGATGGAAAGGCTTTCAGCAAAGCCAAAGATCTCAAAAGTTCAGATTTAAACTAAGTATCACTGAATCATGCCTTACTTGATTTTCATTGTACTATCACTTGAAATATAAAATGACTAAGCGTTGACAATTCGAAGAAAAAAAGAAAGAAAAAGATTTCATATAAATACACCACTTCAGGGGAATTTATTAATTTTTTTTTTTTTTTTTACTGGATTTTATTAGAGCAATCATATTTTTCCTTATGATGTATAAACAAAACTTTAATATCCACCTGGCACCCATTCCGTGTACTAATAATATAAAAAGGTGGTACTGTTTCTTTAATTGCTCTGTTTAAATTGATCAGAGAAACGTGCCAAATCAACGAGGAGGAAAAAACATATCGAAACTGACATATCTTCAGGATTTTATGGGCTTTTTGATGGTACATATCAATCCCTATCTGTTCAACAAAAACAGCGGAAAATGTAATTTTTTTTTTTACTCGAATGGCAAAAAGAATGTTTTTGTAGGAAGAGTCTTAGTCGCGTCTCTTTGAAAACACTCAATTCTCGTCTTAGTCCATCCTTCAAATCTATAAATCAACCATTCGTCCTTGCATTTAATACTATTGCCATATATGGTCTGGTGCCCCCGCTGTTCATCCCGATGTCCTAGACAAAATAGAGACGGATATGCAATGTGATTAGGTCCTGATCTGGCATCTCGACTCTAGTTACTTTCTGTCAGACAGATGTGTCTTCGCTTCCCTCTGTCTTTTCTACAAATATTTTCATGGTAACTGCATCTGAGGAGCTACTTTCACTGGTTCTCAAACTGCATGAATTTAAGCGTGCTACTAGGTTGGCATTTCGGTCCCGCCCTTTCACTGTCAAAACATTTAAATGTACCCGCCACTTCTACTTCAAAAGCTTTTTCTCTCGCATCTACCAACAGTGGGAACCCCTTCCTACTTAATTGCTTCCCTGATAGCTGCAATCTCCAATATTCAAATGCAATGTCAATTGACATCTTCAGATGCCTTTCATCTTATTCCCCGTCCTTCTCTTCATCCTTTCCTCTTTCATGCAAATTTATATATATATATATATATATATATATATATATATATATATGCCTTGCTTATATGAAAAGCCTTAACAAAAAAAAAATAAATATAAATAAAAATTGACATCATTCCAAACATCCATTTGTTATTCCGTTTTTGTATCATACATCAGGTTGGAATGAAAGTTCTGCACATTTTACAAATATATATATATATATTATTTATTTAAAAAATATTTAAGAATCGACACAACCTCAATTGTTTCAAAAGAACCTGTCAAAAAAATTATAATTATTTAAAATTAAATTGAGTTTTAAAATAAATTCTGAGTTCCATCTTCATGTTCAATCTTTTTTTTGGAATAAGGTAATCCAAATAGTTCTTTAAAACATTGAAATCAAAATTTTCATCTACAGCAAGGAAAGTTGGTTGTTTAAATGCCAGATAGTTTATATATATATCCATATATCAAATCTATAAATACCATCCATATATATATATATATCTGGTTATATATGTATATCTCAAGGTCCTGTGACAAAATCCAGAGATGAATATGCAAGTGATAAGTCCCAATCAAGCATCTAGTCAACAATTGCTTTCCCGACATACATTTGAAGATTCCATCTGTCTCTTCTTTGCGTGCTATTTTCATGGCAACTGTTCCAACAAGAAATACTTTTTAACAAAAAAAAAAAAAAAAAAAAAGAAATTTAATGTGACCAAATCAAAATGATTTTTCAGTAACAGTTTCACCATCAAATGATTTAAATAATTAGCCTATTTGTATTCTCAAAGAAATATTTAAATTTACTTTTATTTATTTTAAATTATCTACATTCTTAAAGCATTGAAAACCTATTTTGTTAAAAGCCTTATTAACCAGATAAATTTCAAGGTCATAGTTCACACTATCATTAAAGTGTTTAATGTTAAACAGACGGACAAAAAAAAAAAAAAAAAAAAAAAAAAAAAAAGAAAGAAAGAAAAGACATTACGTTAATTATAATAGGATTTTAGCGTTGTTTGCAGTGTCACTGGCTGTTGCCATGACAATGAATCCAAGAGTTCGTGCCAGTATTCAAATGAAACCCGGAGGAAAGGAAATTCTTGAGAAAGTTCAAACGGATGACATCTTATAAATTGCAGTATAAAAACTGGTTGCATTTCTCATAAGATTAAAGAACTTTCTAATTTTTTTGGTAAGCTGACATTTTGTTTTCATATTGTTAGCCAGTATCTCGAAGTAAATGCGGCACTGTGAATGCTGATTGGTTGAAAAATATTGATCATTCCTTACCTGATGTCTTGATACACATATCAAATTCAGAATTTCTTACATGAAGTCATCATCGGATGTTGATTATTACGGATATATATATATATATATATATATATTGAGAATTTTTTGTTCAAGATAGAAAAGTTAGATTAAACGTTTTGAGTTCTTGTAATAAATGATTTATTACAACGTATAATCTGATTTTTATTATTTAATTAAATAAATAATTAAACAATTTTTCCAAAACAGAAAACTTAAAAAATAAATAAATAAAAATTTTTATATATTCTCATAAGATTTGGCAAAGATTGTATATCAACAGACAAGTCTTTTTTTCCATTCTGAACATATCTCTAGAACGCAATATCGATTTCAAGAAAACTACCCTCTGCAAGTTTTTTTTTTTTTTTTTACTCAACATATATACATCAACATACTGGATGGATTTTAAAAAAAATTATTATTAACAGAAAACTCAGCATATATATTTATTTCTATATATATATATATAACTTACCTTTGAGTTCTGAACTATATTATGAATAATATTCTTATCTGAAAAAAAAGATATAATTTAAACATAGTAGCATTACTAAACAATTAAGTATTCAATTTCAAAAAAATTAGACAGAACTTTAATTCAAACCTAATATATTCCTGGCTTTGTCCATCATATGTGTTTGTGTGTCAAACCTGTGTGCTTCTTGTCTTTTGCCCATTCTGGATCCATATCTTCATTCCAGATTATAACTTTTTTTCTATTCATTCATTCATTCATTCCATCCGAGGGCAGAGCTTAGACTAAATTATGCCAAATGAATCTTGATACCATGTTAATTTGTTGAAGACTATTTAAATTTCAAATCTATATTGTTTATCCATTTAAAATAGTAAAATAGACTGATCATATTTGTCATTTTAAATCAGGAGTCTTAAAAATGAGTTCAAGAGAAAGACCTTTTGTTGATTCGACCAGGTTATCTTCTCAGAAGAACAGATATAAAACCGAAGACGATTCAAATTGTCTACAACATGGAAATTTAATTTTGACAGAAATAAAAGCACTGAACAACAGTGATTTAAAAAATTTTTAAAAAGCGAACAAAAATGAACACTGATCGTAATGTTAAAAGAAATAATGTCATCAGAATATTTTTTTATTTGAAAAAAAATTTAAAGGGTTTTCAATGAGAAATGAAGGGCACCTTTTTATCTAACATTTTAGAATATTAACAAATAAAAGGTGCAAAGACTTAGTCTATTGTCATCGATATCTTGATTATTAAATGAACACAAGCGAAGAAGGTAAAACTGAGATGAAATGAAAGGGGATATACATATTTTAATGGTACTATATAAAACCCCTCTAAAATAGATTCAAAAAACCATATCTCTTCTAGAATGCCATAGTGTCGTATCTGGGTAAATCAAGCAAAACACAGACATATGCATATTATTCACATAAATATTAAAAAATTGTGAGAGAGAAACATTTTTTTTTTTTGAAATAGAGCTCAGAGATTCATAATCTATATTATTTGCAAATTTTTGAAAATAACTAAATTAGTAAATGTATTTTGAAAATGTTTGGCATCTCAAGAGGTCCAACATCTTTAATTGTGTATATGAATTGAGAAACGGATGTTTAAACATCATTAAGAGAGTCAACAAACCAAGTTGACAAGATTTAATTGCGAGGAATTTTTTTGACAGACTTGGTTATTTACATCAACATGCAAGGCAACAGAGAAAATATATTAACATTGGTAGATAAGATTTGTTCACTTGGCACAAGCCCCTCCAATACCAGTCAAGGCAAAGATATATTCTTGCAATGGTATTGGGGAAGAATTGAAAAGAAGTGGTAAAAAATACGTATGCTGAGGATACTGAATAGATTTTAGTTGAACTTAGAGCACATCGTTAAAACGTTGTTGATCCCTGGGGAATCATTTGGACTGACCAGTTGGCATTCCTCTGTTGTGCTAGGGTTAAAACATGTAACAAAATCAAGATGTTAATCAAAAACCGGATAAGTTGTCATTAAGTGACCATGATCCTCTTCTGTG